CAATGGCAACAATGGTCCTGAAAAAGAATTCACTAATTGTGGAATATTTTAGTACTTGGGTGCAAACTTCAACTGCTTCAACATGCTGAGAGAAGAAATACGATCTAGAATATAATCTAGAAATAAAGTATACTATGCCCTTCAACATCTGCTGAAGTGTAAGTGTTTGTCTCGCAACACCAAGATCGAAATATATCAAACGTTGATAAGACCTGTCGTTTTATATGGCCCTGAAACTTGGAGCACAACTGAAAGAGATGAACCCTTAACACAAGTTTTCTTAAGACGAATCTTTGGACACATTAAAGATGCAAACAGTGGGGACCAGAGAGTGAAAAGCAACAACAAAATTCATAATCTGTTGAAGTTACCTTTGGTTACTGGCATCATGAGAGCTAATAGACTGAAATGGTTGGGGCATATTGAAAGACAGTCAGATGACAGAGAAGTAAAAACTGTATGCACAAGGGAGATGAATGGTTGTAGACCACGAAACAGACGGAGAGATAATGTCCAGGCAGACCTGCAAACACTTGGTGTCATCAACTGAAAGGAGAAGGCAAACTAGAGAGATGAATGGAGGCGAGTGGACCTCAAGGATTCATAATGCTGAAGAAGAAGAAGAAGAATTGTGGAAGATTTTTAACATGAGCAGATCTTGCTAGTTACACCCACCATCACCATGGGTCGTTATTGCCATATCTTCATTTACCATAATAAAACACAATTGTCTGTAAAGATGGAAAGGTTCAAACATCTTACCATGGAAGTCAAAGATTAATTATGTGATCCTCTTCTTTGCTAAATTGGATTACCTATTTTAACTGCTCAATGACCCAAAATATTGTCATATTCACCGATTTAATGTCTGCTCTACAAGCTCTGGGGGGCAGTGAACATTGTAGAACTGACATAGACAAGATAATTATGGATGCTGATCAGCTCATTACCTCCTACAACATCTGAATACGGGTGCAAGGGATTCCAGGCCACTCTGTCACATCAGGTAATGCAGAGCTGCCATATTGGCAAAGAAAAGAGCAGCACAAGAACAACCACTCACTGCAGCAACCTATAGCAACAAAAGCATTAGAAGAGTCATAAACAAAGAGACCTGGCTGAACAGAAGGGCCTGGGAGATATTGGAAGAGATGTTTAAAGACATATGGATGGCCCTAATCCTATCAACAGCATCAACCATCTAACAAAGAGGGACAGGCCACCATCTTCGGACTCAGAACACAACATATTCCACTCAGTGGACATCTAAACAGAATACAACAAAAACACTTCCCCGAGTGCCAGCTAGTTAACTACCCTTACCAATCTGTTGACGATCAACTCTTTGACTGCCCAAACTCAGCAACACTAGAAGAATGCTACTCCCTCTGAGACCAGACAAGTGGAATATCTTGAACAGAGGAAAAGAATGGCTTGTAAAAGCATGTAAATTTCCCCTACATGGCACTGGGCCAAAGGGTGAAAGCTCATGCACCGTTTTATGTTTTGATTTATTAATTACACCTCGTTGGGTGCAGTTCAGCAATCACAAGATAACTGAAAAGCCAAAACAAAATACAAAACCACAAAGTATAACCCTACATACTAGAGTAGATAATAGAATAACTATAAAATAAAAGTTATTTACAGTATCAGTGGTCGTCTCCTCCTTCTCCTCCTCTATAGTGATTTCGCTGCTGACTATTTCTTCTTTTGGTCTGTCATATATAACAAGGGATCCCTTAGTTTTTGTGACATCATTAGTTTCAAGGTCCAGCTGGGTGTCCCAGAACCTGCAAAGTGAAAACAGTCAAATGTTAGATATTGGTTTGTCAAAGAAGAGAAGAATACAGGTCTTCGAGTATAGTAGCATGTAGTATTTTCCATCAACAATATACTGTTCAACTCTTCAAGGGATATAATTGGGATATTTAGAGTTACTGTCCTTTCTTCATAATATAAATTTATCCAATACCTTATCATTTAATATTATATGTATTCATTTGATCATTGTCCTATTGTCCTATTATATGTCACATAGGGCTCGCAGTCTATTTCTCCATTCCGTTCCATCCTATGCAATGACTTCGATATCATGGATGGAATCCAGTCCACCACCTTTGGCTATTCTCATTAATGTTTACAGGAGAGAAGCTGGGATTGTAAGGATCTGCTGTATGTTCTTTCAAATGTGAAGCCCCACTCTGGCTTTTGCCAGGGGCCGCAATATAGGCAGGCCATAAATATGGCCAAATGTCTGAATGTGGTTTCTGGGACCTCTCCACGGTGATCCTCATCCGCATGGTGGCACTCTGTGTCATCGGGTGTTTATCGCTTGTGTGATGTCCTGGTGGGGTAGAAAGTCAGTCAGTCAGTCAATGTGTTACACAAGTTGATCTTCCTTCATTTTTTTACAGGTTGTTTTACACAATTGTTCCATATTTTCAATGGTCTTCTCCTTGCTCATTGATGTCGCAGCCAGTCTCTCTGTGGCAGTTGGTATCAAGCCATTGTGGCCAGATGGGGGGTCACTGTGGTGAAGTGGTCAAACTCTTTGCCTCGCGCTCTTAAAATCATGGGTTAGGTTCAAGGCTGCACCACTGAGTTCACAATGCAGTTTTTACGAAGAGCTATGGAGTTCGTGCGTTTTGTGGTGTTCTCAGCAGATGGCCAGTCATTCTGCGGAGAGTGACCGAACCATATGGGATAAAGACACAGGCCAATGAAGTCGATCCTCTCGACTTTAACCTTTATCTGTTGCTCTTCAGTGAACTGCATGACGAGTTTATGTTCTAGTCTTCTCTCTTCCCCCCCCCCTCCCTTTTTTTTTCATTTTTCATTTCATGTCTTCCTGTTGCTCCAACAGCTCTTTGAAGACATCTCGCCCATGATGCTTTGATTTTCCCCCCACTGGTTTCGGTGAGGGTCCAGGTCTGGCACTGGTAGCATAAAGTTGGCCTAAATATGGTGATTAGATTTACCTTGGGAGACAAAGGCACTTACTTTACAAAATGAGCAGATGTGACAAACCGAAGCTGATCCCATTTGTCACAGACCAGCATGAACTTTGGCTGCTTCAGCATCTCAGCTATGCACTTGAACGTTTCCCAGAATGCCCAGAAGTCCTGAAAAGACCAGAATAAAAGAATTTGGTTAGCTAGTTATAAAGGGATATTTGTAAAATAAAGATTTATGAGATATAATCTTGAACATGATTTACTTCTGTATTTAAATTTCCCAGCACAATCAATATAATCTCAGTTAGATTTAGTATTGATACATTCAACCCACCACTGTTCTACACATGACTTGCCTCTTTCTGTCTTTCCAGACGACAGTGTTATATTGCGTTATATGGAGACCAGGGACTCACAGCCCATGGTGATGGTGAGTGTGACTAGCAAGACCCGCTCTCTAAAGAAAAGTCTTCCACAATGATAGCATGGGATTTCAGAACCGTTTTTATCAGCATTTGTGTTTGGTCTGTTTCTTCTCAGACGCTCAGCTCTAATCCTTTCTGCAGTCATGCCTTCCTTCATGCTCATTCCCTACCTGCTGTGCTTTCTCCACACAACATGGTCCATGGCATTTTATTCCTATGAGTACATCTTAATACCTATATCATTCATGTCCCGCTTGCATCTTTATATTGTAGTAGAGGTCAGCCTCAACATCTGCTACCTATCTTTAGTTAACTTGTCCTTCGGGACTCTGCCATCCTCCATTGTCCAGGTGTGACCCAGCCACCTGAACCTTCGTAGACTGAGCACTGAGAAAACTTGTAATTCCTGCTCTGTCCAATACCTCAGGGTTTGTGATCTTGTCCTGCCACTTAATTCCAAGTAGACTTCTTAGGCATCACATGTGAAAGCTATTAAGCCGTTTCTTTCTCCTGGTACAAATACATTGACCAAGTCAATTTCACTGCCTAAAGCATAGTGCTGAAAACATAAGCCTGATAGACAAGACTTTTTGTTTTAATCATGAATTTCTGTTCTCCCAAACTCTTTTTTGTTGATCTGCTCATTGTTATGGCTGCCCTACCAGCGATAGTTTATGCTTTACACATACCGATGTAAAATGAGACAGAAAAAAAAGACATTAGTTATGAGTTATCTTCATAGCACTCCGGACAGGTGCATGGCTGCTCAACATAAACATCAGCATCCCATGATTCATTGTGTCAGTCCTATGCTGGTTGAAAATACTTTTTGTATCTTCAGTGTGCCTCTCATGCCTGGCCATGTTGACCAGTGCTAAAAATTCTTGCGTTATTAGCAGTAAAAAAGACGCACCGCACCCAAAAAAAAATGTTGTTGTCCTATTTCTCCAAGAACATTAACCATAAACAAGTTAGTTCTGTATCCCTCACAGCCAGGCTATTTAACTGGTGGCTCACAGGCTGAATCTTTGGATCTTTTCTCCAGGCTATGCTGGTGTGGTGAGTAATGAACAGGCAGACAGATTGGCTGGATCTGCACCACTGGGTGGTGAATTGATACATGACAAGGCAGATCTGGTAAAGGCCCTTTGGGAACAAGCAACGGAATCAGTAGAGAAAGAAGATTATTATGGCCTGGAAAGAATGAGGCACCTGGGTCTAACCAGAGGGTCTGGCCGGCTGACTACACTCAGAGGAAAGGCAAGACTGACATATAACCAGATTGTGACCGTCACAATCAGTACTGAAACTCTGCGCTGGCTGCTGAAGATGAAGATGAAGTATGCATGGGAATGCCCCAAATACAGTGATGTCAATTCTTGACTCAGCTCAACGCAACTCAGGCTGAATCTGGCCTGCAGATCCCTGGAAAGTAGCCCACAGATCACTGCCAGCTGTAATGCATTAGTGATCTTCCTATGCTGGAGCTCAGGTCTCTGGAGCTTGGGTCTCTGGAGCTTGGGTCTCTGGAGCTCGGGTCTCTGGAGCTCGGGTCTCTGGAGCTCGGGTCTCTGGAGCTCGGGTCTCTGGAGCTCGGGTCTCTGTAGCTCGGGTCTCTGGAGCTCGGGTCTCTGGAGCTTGGGTCTCTGGAGCTCAGGTCTCTGGAGCTCGGGTCTCTGGAGCTCGGGTCTCTGGAGCTTGGGTCTCTGGAGCTCGGGTCTCTGGAGCTCAGGTCTCTGGAGCTCAGGTCTCTGGAGCTCGGGTCTCTGGAACTCAGGTCTCTGGAGCTCGGGTCTCTGGAGCTCGGGTCTCTAGTGCTTGGGTCTCTGGAGCTCAGGTCTCTGGAGCTCGGGCCTCTGGCCCATGACAATTCCCATTTTCAACCTTTTGGCCCCTAAGCAAACCTAGGTGAATAGCCCTGGTTTACAGGATGTTGCAAATTAACTCCAGAACTCGTTTGCTGTTTGCGGTTTTACTAGGCAACTTTATATTCACTTGTTTTCCCTTGCTTGCTAAACAGTCAGCTCTTATACCATTGTCACAATTAACGTCAAATGGTCTGATGCCTTTTCTTCTAATTTTTAGCGTTCACCAGTTGTAAACTCTGGTAGAAAGTCCTGGCTGTTCGCTCATCTCTGGAATTTGGTCTTGTTCCAAAACTTGAGTATTGTGTGCACATCTGTTTTACAGAGTTGAAGTATGTGTATGCGATCTGTTGGTTCCTTGCCTTTCAGGCAGATGTACTTAAACTTAGAAGACAACACTCCTGATTTATTCAAATTTTACAACCAGCTAGCTAGGGGGCAGAAAGTCTGTTCTTTTCTCCCACAAGATGGGGCCCAGGAACCAACAAAGGGAGTTCTGCCGCTAAATTTTAAACACAATAGGGTAAATAAAATGTTACTAACAGAGTGTATAGAATCGAACTATACCTTGTACTTGTTTAGCAAATTCTCAAGTGTCTTCACCTGCACCACCACTGTATCTGACAGATTGTTGTTTATACTCTTGCCACCAACTGGGAAAAAAAACAAATAATTTACAACAAACAAACAAGCTTAGTTTATTCATGTAAGGATACATTTTCTTATTTTGCAGGAGAAAATTAGGACATAGATTACTGATCATAAATTAGGTCCGAATCATTATTATCAGGTAGCAGGTCCTTTGCAGAACGTCGCTCTCATCACTGTCTGCCTGAAAGAAACTCGGTCTCTCGCCAGTTCTCCCACCTCATATACTTTCATACTCAAGGAGTCACCTATATCATGTGCCCATCTTCGTGTTGGTCGGCCCCTGCCCCTCCTTCCATGCTGTTTATTAACCAATCTTCCTTGATGTTCAGATCTTTCAAGATGTCAGTATTTCTCCTCTTCTTTGTCCAAGATATTCTGAGAATCTTTCTATAGCATTTCAGCTCAAAAGCCCCTATTCTCTTTCTTAAGGACTGAGAGATACTTCACGACTCACATTCGTATGTAACAACAGGGAAGATGCAGAATACTGATCATAAATTATGTCAGATTAAAGATAATAAATTATATGCAAAAGACTGAGTGGACGAGTCATGACAGACAGAACTAAATTCAAGAAAAGCATGCAGTTGGTAGCTGATGTTGTCTGTGAAATATGAGAATGTATGATCTAAGACTCAAGAATCCATCGGGAATATAATAGGTTGTGAGATTGGAAGGAAGTGAGAAAGCTCATTCTTGTCTGACAGGGCTTGCAGCATGGATAGATAAATGTTTCTGTGAACAAAGTGGTGAGTGTATGTAACCAGTGGCTGACCATGTTAAGAAACCTGGCCATTTTCTGTCATCTACAAATGGTTGCCTGAAGATGTCTGCTGCAATCATGGCATGAGTGAACCAACCTGAGGCTACATAGGCTAAACAATTGTTTGGAAGAACTGATCATGAGAGTACATCATTCTCATAATTCCCTTGTGGGATGCAATTTTTAGTTATTTTGAAGCCCCACTCTGTCTTTTGCCGGAGGCCCTAAATATAGACGGGCCTGAAAAATGGCCTAATGGCTGCATGTGGTTTCCGGGACCTCTCCACGGGTAATCCTCATTCTCATGGTGGCACTTTGTGTCACCAGGTGTTCATCACTTGTGTGATGTCCTGGTGGGATACAACTTACATACATACATACATACATGAGAGTACATTGTCATCTGGTAAATATGATTTAGCTAGAATATTCACTGAATTTGAGTATGCAATAACTCCCAGAGATTTCAGTCTCTGGCATGCATTGACTGAGAAGAGCTAAGGAATGGAATAAACAGTTTGCATCATCTGTTCGGTGTTATCAATCTTTTGTCGGCACTGGAGTTTTTGCTTCCTTGTCAGTGTAGCGTGATCCCAGTGAAGGTTCTAGGGCCCCATTGTGGCAAAAACAAAACAAGAATAGACCCACTGCCTCCCCAACAAGCATGTCATAGGAGTTGACTAATTCAGGACTTCTTTTGAAGTCAGCCTGCATCTGTCCAAGAGGCAAGAAACAACCAACTGCACAGAAATAAGCCAGTAAAATGGATGTGCATTCAAAATTCAGGCCCTGGCACAAAGCCAAAGTCTAAATGAACAAACAACCAGGACTTTCTCTTGAAGCTTGCAGCTTTCAGCTGGTGAACAAAGAAGAAGTCGAATGTAACTTGAGAAAATATATAGAGCACTAAGTATCTAAACATAGTGTCTGACAATTCAGTATCAAATTAACTTCGTTTCTGCTACTATGTTACAATTATCTCCCTTACTGTGTCTCCTCCTGTTGTTACACTTCTTATTCTTCTTGTTTTCAGGTTTTTCGGGGGGAGGGACTTGCAGGTTGGGGGTTTACAGTACTGGGAACCACAATTCAAATTTTCACTTGCTGAGAATTGGAATTCATTATCTGTGGCAATATTTATAAATGTTCAGGCTGTAAGGTTAGCTACAATTTTAACTGAAGCTGCTCGCAACATGTTGCACGTGATCAACTTTTTAATCATTTTCTTAGAAAATAATTGGAATGCCGGCATTCGCCATTTGTTTTATCTTTTTTTTTTAATGTATACATAAATTCATCATACAGATGTAAAGCTAAAGGCCTTTTTTTTCATACCACTAGTGCATCAGGCGACACTGTCATGAAGTCCTAATTTTGTCACTTTCTCTTTGTTCATCTGAATGACACAATTGTGCTGTGCATGTTCACATAATTGCTGCGATATTTGCACCTTTCAGCTGACACATCTGAATTTATCTGGCATTTTGTTCACCAGGCTAGCCTTCCCGGATAGTTTTGTAGGACATGACATAATGTCTTCTTTGTCCCCAAATCCACAGGTGTTGTTCCCGGAAAACCCATCCAGGGCAACCACATATAGACTGGTTGAAATTCAATGGAGGGCAGGGGCAGATTAGGTGCATTCCCTGCCATTCAAGGAGGCTTCCATAAATGCAGAACCATATAGTCATATCATGCACATGACTGCTTAACCTCACATCCAGATGTTGAGCTTCTTCCAGGTCTGCACCCTCTAAATCCTAATTTACCGGCAAGGCTAACCCGTTCAACAAATGCCCGCAGAAGTCTGATGTGTTGGCTAAAAGGTGCAAATATCACAGCCATGCTGTAAACGGACACAACCTAATTACATCTTTGGATGAAGGCAGAAGAAGAAAAAGAAATCCTAATTTACCGGGAAGGCTAACCCATTCAACAAATGCCCGCAGAAGTCTGATGTGTTGGCCAAAAGGTGCAAATATCGCAGCCATGCTGTAAACGGACACAACGTAATTACATCTTTGGATGAAGGCAGAAGAAGAAGAAGAAATCCTAATTTCATCATTGCTATTTTTCTCATTTCTGCTACATCCAGTGCCTTACCAGTGCTACCATTACTGTCTGGAGCGCCTCCGTTACTATCTGGTGCCTCTTCAATTATCATCTTCAGTCGAGTTATTCTCTCCTGCAGCTCCTGGAAATCATCATAGTCACTCCAGTTAGTCATCAGAGTGTCCTCAATAAACTGAAGGATTCTAAGAAGTTCCTGCTTGTCTGTATTGGACATGGCCTGGAGCAGATTCACCTGGAAGAGATGGTTCATTAGATTTCAGAATTAGTACAAATCATAATTATACAAATCACTGGTATTATCTTCTTGTACGGATGTGAGAGTTGGACTCTCACTGCAGAAATGGAAAAGAGGATTCAGGCTTTCAAACATAAATGCTACAGATGATTTTGACGAATTAGCTTTTTATAACATAAAACTAACAAATAAGTAAAAGACTAAATAAATAAACTCATAGGAATGCAGGGGCCTCTTTTGGCTGTAGTGAAACATCTCAAGCTAGTTTGAATCGGGCACATGGTAAGACATGATTTAATTGCAAAGATTATACTTCAGGGAACATTAAAGAGTAGTTGAAGAAGTGGCAGGCAAAGAAGAACCTGGAATGACAACATCATAAAATGGACAAGACTAAATTTTTACATGCTGGTCCCTGTGCACATGTGGATTGGCACCCGATACAACATATCATGTCCTCCAAGACTGTCCCAAATACAACATTTCAAGGCAAAACTTTTAGCCAAGAGAAACATAGGTGTAAGTCAAACAGGTTGCAGAGTGAATTACAAAAGACAGTGAAATTCATAGTAGAGACAACATTGCAGATATAGATAATTTATTTCAAGTGAACAAAAGAAGAAGAAGAAGAAGACTTGTTCAACAAGCACAAGACAGAAAGATGTGGGGTATTATGTGCTAGTGCTTACATCAATACTAACCTATGACCATAACAAGTCATGGGCTATGCTATGTTATAATTAGTTGTGCCCAGCTGTTACAGTGGTTCCCAGTTCAAAGACATTTTGGAACCTACAGAGTCATAGTAATAAAGGCAGATCAACAACAAAAAAACAAATGGAGAAGGGAGCTAATGAATGAAGTTAAACAAATTAGCCAGACCTATGGTGAGCTGCATGCAATAGCAAAGGATAGGGTGACTTGGCATGAGTAGGTTGAGGGCCTATGCTCCACTGGGAGACAAAGGGTAAAAGAAGAAGATTTTACAGTAGCTTGCATTATCAAGATCTATAATCGTAAAGCACAAATATATAAAGCTGAGAGCATGGACTTCACTGCACAGCCTTTTTATTTGTTTGATCCTATATAGCTTGGTCTCACACTGCAGAATGGCTATCTGGCTGAAGAAAGCATTGCATGAACTGTGTAACTTCAGCACGGATTCCTAAGGATTTCCGTAAAAAATTTCAATCATGAGCCAAATGACACAGTCTATGGAACAAACCCACTACCTTCACAATAAGAGGCAAATGGCTTTGTGAGCATGAGCTTGACGATTTTGCTGGGACTGACAAGTTTTTTTCACTAGTTTTAAAATGGGGACAGTGAAGGACATTTTCTGTCACTCTATTGGTACATAAAACTGAGCAGTCATGGGGCAACTCATCCACAGTGATGTTGGAAACTCAACTAATTAACTGACTAACTAACCTAGAAATACAATTTCTGTAAAACTTGAAACAGTGGCCTAAAGCTACCATTGTTTACCTCATCTTCAGTCCAGTCCCTAAACACCAGCAGCATGAAAGCAATCATCTGATAGCCCAAACGTTTCACGCTGGATGTCCACAGTGACAGCAGCTGCAGTCTCAGTCTATAGGGGGCGAGGGGGGAAGGGGGAACAAGACATCAAAGAATTAACCTTTAAGATGATGAAGAATAGGAAGAAGAAGAAGAAGAAGTAGAAGAAGCAGCAGCAGTAGCAGCAGCCGCCGCAGCAACAGCAGGTGGCAGAAGAAGAGGAAAGAACATGAAAAAATGATGAGAAGAAGGAGGAGGAGAAAAAGGAAAGAAAGAGGAGGAGGAGGATTAAGACTGTAAAGTTTTGTTAGTTTTTCTTTTACAAAAAAACTAAAACAGTTTCTAAAGGTAATATTGTTTTAACACATTATGAATCAACATAAATTGATTGGTTACCTTATAGCAGCATCCAAAGCATCCGCTGATGGTGCCGGTAGAAGGATAATGACAGCTGGAACAGCCCCTACCTGACCTGTCTGTGTCTTTACCTGGATATGGGCAATGAAACACGTAATAATCATCACAAAGTGCCTTGCCGACTGTCATGGGCGATCATACCTCTCCACAATCTGTGTGTATCAGTTTGTGTGTTGACACCTTTTCATGCCATGACAAAAAACTGTCAAGAATTTTCTCACAATTGGTTTTTTTAAAGTCATGATTTACTAGGGAAAATACAGCAGTGGTTTCCCCTTGCCTTTCGCTACATAATAATACTCCATCTAAATAATTTTCTTTACCTGGGTCGTCTTATGCATTATAAATTAAATATATGTTTACTCCAGTTTTAAACGCTTAGATTTACTGATAAACTGAAATTAATACACTGATTATTGAAATAACGAATCTTCTGCTTCTTTTTTGTTCACTTTTGACAGAGCACTTTGCATTGTGGTTTACAGCTAGCCTGCAATATCTCTGCCTTTCAGACTTGAACATCTAATTTTAGCAAACTCTCCAGTCAGTTTCTTTTCACATGCTTGTTAGGGGGTAATGGGGTATAACTTTTCTCTCCCCCCCCCCCCCCCCCCCCCCACCCATTAAAAATTTTTTCTGGGACTCACACATTGACAATTTACAAATATGGGCATAGAATTTGTCATCAATTCAAAACAAACACAAAGATTTTGTCAAATAAATATGAAGCAATAGATTTTCTGAAATAAAAGTTAATATTACAGTTTGAGATATGCTAATAAATGTTCAATGAACAAATAGATTTATTCAAAACTTAGATTGAGCTGACATTCTTAATCAAACTATAATGGCAGATTTTTTTTTTGCAGACACTAAATGTAAGCAGATTGAATTAAAGTATAAATAAAACTACACATTGTTTCACTTAATTTTCTTGTTTACCTTCCATTTCTTCCTGTCAGAGTTGTCTATGAGAGTTAGTGTCTCACCCTCAATAAAGTCAATCTAGAGAAAGAAAAAAAAAATTTCACAAGTTAAAAGTTGCAATTTTTAAATAACCAACAGAAAGTTGGCAGAAACTATTCTTGTCATCAAATGCCTTGTGTTCTTGGATGCATGATCATGTTTCTTCCAATCCTGCAATCTCCAGGAGAATAGAACAGTTCTGTCCTTCCAGTCAATATGGAGAAAGGCAGGTTTGCTGTGGTTTTTTTTTTTTTTTTTTTTTTTTAGTAATGACAAGTTTTTGCTTCTGACAATAGTTGGCCATTGCATTTTCCTCTGTATATAGACTGATAGAAAATAGTTTTGTCAAGCAGAGTTGAGTGCATGGCGTGACACTGCGATATGTGGATTTCACTTGGAAGGATTTTTTTGACTGTGCTCAGCATCGTTTGTGCTGTGAACTGTAGATTCCAAAAAGTGAGGAGTCACCTGTTGTAACTGCTGTTTCCATCGATGATGAACTGCATATGTGTTGGACTGTTCGAGTAAGCACATCTGACAGCCGCCTTATGCATGTAATGTGCATATATGTTGTTGGAACTGCTGAGATTGCAGTCTGTGTCTGTTTCCACAAAGGCCTGTGATGGA